TGTTAGGAAGCTTTGCAAAGACATATGGTCCTGTTTCTCTGCCGCTACCTCAAACACTTCTATACCACACACTTCAGCATTCTCCATCACCTGCCCTGACATGATCTGTAATATCAAGGTAAGACTTAATGGTAGCCAAACTGCATCCAGGAGCTCCTACCTAGATTCCACGTGAATTCTCCTTTATTCATACATTGCAAAGTCCAATACAACAAAAAGCTCATGAAGTGGTGGATGCATTTGTAGCTTTCAACCCCCAAATCAGAGAGCCCCCCTCAGTACACTCAGTCAGCTCTCTTGACTGTGATTTTGTGTGAATGAAGAGATTTCATGCCTTCAAGTCAAATGTCCCCAGCAGAAGTCTGAGTGAAAACATGAGATGATAGAATTTGATTTTTAGTTCTGTTTTCAACATTATAACAAGTTATGTAACTCGAATGGCTTTTCTGATGAAGACAAATAAACTATTTTCTTTGGAAACATTTTAAATGCATTGCTGAACTAGCACACACACACAAAATAAGGGATCCAAAAGTTTTAAAAATTAGGTGAAACAGTAAGTCTGAGAGGTAGGTAAATACCAAGGCTTTTGCCCCAAAGATTTCTGCTGAACTATGGAGAATTTGAGTTTCTGATGTGTTAACTTCTTAGCACATGGGGGACAGTGGAAAAACCTCAGGGCTGCTGAAGACAGAGAAACTAACAGGAGACCCTACATAAAGGGGGGACCTTAATGACACTGAAGGGGAAAGCAAGGAAATGTGCCTGTCTTGAATCTGACACTGGATGAAGAGAGAAAAATCTACCCCAAGAATTTGAAGCCTTAACCTGGCCCTAAATTGGGTTTTAGCCCAATTTCATGCTTTGTGGTCCAAAAACCTTAAGTTAAGAATTAAATTGAAAGTGGTTTTGAGTTGGATGTGTCACACAGAAGACAATAAATAAATGTAAATCCTCTTTGGTAGTGTCAGCTTGACCAAAGATTTGACACAGATATAGATCAAGAAAATAAATAGTTCACAGCACAAAATCCAATAAGAATAAGGCATTATGAGGAATAAACCAGAGACAGACTGAAAATAAGGTCAGATATGAGAATTATCTAATAAAGGATGTAAAACCATTACGCTTAAAATACTTGACTAAATTGTAAAAATAAAAAACTTCAAAGCATGAGCAGAGAATAAGACATGATAGAGACTGACCAGATTTGCTGAAGAACCAAATAAAACACCATGTAGATAATATATCTAACATAAGCCAAATCAAGTTATGTCTAGATAAAAACCAAATAAGTAATAATATAATAATGAAACAAAACATTTAAGAGAGAGAGATGTTCATAGAGAATCAGAGAACTAGAACACAACCATGAAGAAATTAGATGTAAAATAGGAAAAATTAAGAAAAAAGAGTGACAAGGGCTCTAATAATGCCTAATC